ATATATATATATATATATATATACACACACACACACACACACACACACACACACACACAATATCAGCAGCAAAATATAAATACATATGGCTACATCTACTCACATTTTTCCCTTGTTGCCTTTGCTCTGTTTTCATCAGTCTAGTACGTTGGATATACTAGATTGTTGGATTATATCTGGCAGATTTCCTAGCTGACATGGTCTTTGGGAAGCCTGCTTTTTCCATTTCCATTCCACCTTCCTCTTTATGATTTTTACTTTTACCTCTCTTTTCATTTTGAGTACACCTGCCATATGCACTGAAACTGATTTAGAAATCTTGTTTATTCTATGGGAAACCTTGAGAAGCGTGTTTATATGAGTGGTTAGAGATCTTTGGAAATCCTTGGTGCATTTTCCTTCATGGTTTACTGGTACCTTCATTTCTATAGGGAATCATAGGAACTATAGGCTTTAGAATTCTTAAGAATCTCATCAAATTATACATCTCAAGATTCTTTGAGAAGCATTACTGTTACCTTTTATCAAAGCAATGTAAGTTATAGAGAAAAGATATTCTTTCCGATACCCAGTATTGTAACTTAAGTTTTGCATATTTGCCCATCTGCTTTTTTCAGTATCTAAAAGTACATGAAATGTCTTCCTGGGTTGGTTTTTTATTAGATTTTCCTGACCTAAGAAGAAATTATTTTGTTTTAGTCTTTGTCCTTTTGTTAAATTCACCACTATCTCAGCCCAGTTTGCTCTGGTCCAGAAATCTGATTTCAGTTACTCTGGTCTTGAAATCAGTTTGTACTGGACAGTTCACAGTAGAATTAACAGATTTTGCCAAATCCTACAATGTTTTTGTAGTTTTTAAATTTTGAGTATGATATTACATTGCATTGCAAAATACTGTTTGTACAAACTAGATCTTCAAATAGAATGTAATAATGTTGTTTTCATCTTCCTTAGCTTCTTTTATTAGTAATACATAAGTATGCAAAATGGCATGTACTCTTGTTAACATGGTTACATGAGTTCAATGAAAGTTTCAAGCCAGGATTAATTTTATAGAACATATCTAATGTAAGAATATCAACCAGAAGCTTTCAAATTATTTGTAATAATCCTGAAATAAAATCTCAAATGTCATAAATTTATTTCCATAAGCAGAATCATGGAAACTGTATTTGAGAAACTGTGCTGAGCTTCAAATTCTTGTTCTGTTACATCTGACCAGATATTATGGCTATAGTAGAATATAGATCTACTTTCCAGGTTTGACCATAGCGTATATGCCCAACTGCCAGACCTTTTCTGATCGGTTTTATCCTACTCTGTGCTTTGGACTGGGGTGATTCTTTGCATATACAAAATTTCCTTCAATGATACACTGGCTGGTATTTTAATTTGTATCAGTGAAATTTCCCTCTTCTAAGAAACATAGTTTGAAACTTATAGACAAACTGTGTGGTCAGAGCAGTCACATGGCATAAATTATACTTTGAACCATTCCTATAGAGGTATTGTTCACAACTCCTATAATTCCCAGCCAGCATGACAATCCACGATAATTGGAAATTATGGAGTTTGTATCATATCTGAAAGACACTAGACTGGGGCAAGTGGACAGATGATAGAATTGGCAAGTTTTAAAAATGGGACAGCATTTCTAAATTTAGCCTGAAGTGGCTTAATCCAGCAGCAGTTACAGCAATGAGACTATTTGGTTACATAGCTTGGTTCTTGTTTTAGATCCCATTCCTGTATGCTGTTTTGCTTTACTTCCTCCTTTTGCCCCTTTTGTGCTTTGTTTTCTTCCTCCCCTGACTCAGGGGAGTTTACTAGGGCTCAGAAATACTGTCAGAATATGCAGTAGGGAACTAAGGCCTTTGTACAGATATATCTAACCATGTTTTAGCCATACTTTTTTTTATCCCCATTGTTTTAGGACAACAGCCAAGTTGTCTGTTATTGTTCTGGGATGGTTACAGTCGGAAACTCATTCTGTCATGGAGAATCAAATATATCTCAAGTAAACCAAGTTCAACAGTATTGTATTTTCTATCACTTCTGGCATGAATCTTGAACTTTTGTGGTTATTGGTTCATACAATTATTTCTGGGCATCACCTATGTGTTTTTAGTCAGCTAATCTTGACTTTTTTAGTCACGTTGGCATGCACTGGGTAATTTTACAAATGCCAGTGACATGCATAGCAAACAGCATTTTTGTACAGCATTCTGTTTGAAACATATATCCACACTGCTATACATGTAGCTGTGTTGCTATGTTTTGCAAGCCGGCAGCCATAGATGCCACCTCTCTTCTTGCTTCAGAATTGTTTTATTTTGACGTTATATTGGATTTGTGTTTTATTGCCAATAGGGCAAATAAGAAAGCTAATCAAGATTTCCCCAAAATTATGACTTGTTTGAGGTAAGATGGGCTGACAAACAAATTGTGGTTTTTAGGGAATCTTGAATAATGTTAACATTGTTTGTGTTGATGAGGAAATGTGATTAAAATAAGGATATCTACAGTATATCCATATCAGATACCTGGGAAAAAGTGGTTCATACTGATTGCATGTATCTCAGTCTAGGGATCTGGGATAAATTGGGGATTCTATTAGCTGCCTGTCCTGCTGTTTGATGGAATCTGTGATTGGAACTGACAGAACTGGTCTCAGATGTGGTGATGGAGATCCCTACGCTTATGGTGCTGAGAATTATTATATTCATTTTGCAACAGATTTGCCGAGAGCAGCTTTATAGCACCATAACCAGTATTGGTCTATCCTGATTGGTCACACAATGCAGATCATACACTTTGTTTGGTATTTTGTTCTGATCAGACAGGTGTCATGAGAGTGGGCACAGCTCATGTTTCCTCACTGGGCAAATCATCAGGTGAGACTATCTTCAGTGGTTAAGTTTGGATTAGTAGCTATTCCTCACATTGATAGGGATATTGGACTTATTGAGCTTCCTGAAAAAGTTATTGGATCCAGTTAGATTCCAAGAGGGCTTGGAAAGGTTCCATCTGTGATTCTGACAGTGCCCTGGTTGGAGTCTGGAGTAGGGAGTTTCTGGGGCAGACGATATAATTTCTCTGTGCTAGTGGCCTTGTGGTGCATAGGTGAACTGTGGGAGCTGAAGTGACTTGGTAGATGGCTAGAGTGTAGCTGGAGGAAGACCCAACTGAAATCTGATACTCTTAGTAGATGTACACATTCCAGAGAAAGTTCATCAGATTTGTATAAATTATTGCCAATTTTGATTCAAAGGGCTAGCTATGGTTCTTATTAAAGTGTTGTTTTGCCCGTTTGTGTAGCTTCTGAGGAATGGATTGCTGGCAATTGCCTCAGTACTTTTTCATGTTGACCAGGCATTAACCGTAAACTAGAAAGCTTGCTTGGGCTTCCTTCATTAACTCAAGCTCTCCACAGTGACGAATGTAATATTTATTTATTGCTTTACAAAATGTATATACTGGTTTTCATGATAAAGTTAGCATTGCAGCTGACAGTGAAGTGGTAACGCTGTACAAATTTAAATGCAGTCCAATTCGAATGTATGAAAACAGTAAAACAATAAAACAGCAATAAATAAATGGTTATTGGAGCAACGAATGAAAAGCAGTGTCTAGGCAAACAGAGGAAGACCTCAACTGAAGGAAAAATATTCTATAATGATGGCCATCTAATCTTCATAGGGAGCTTGTTTTCCATGAAGAACACTACCTCAGAGAATGCCTGCGTAGACTTCTTAGCAATTTTCATTTCATGTTTTTTTACTCTTTCCCTGCTTCTTCATATTGATGCCACCATGACAAAAACGCCCTGCCATTGATCAGTGAGGGAAAGAGCAGACAAAAGAATGCTGACCACAATGGTCGAAGGCAATAAGAAACAGGGGAAAAATTTATATCCTTCCCAAGGAGAGCAGGCCTTCCAGTCTTTTGCTGCTGCCTTCTGGAGAAGAGCAAGATAACCCGTTTCCCTTCTGTGTGTGTGTCTGGGGTCTGTTTGTAATAGGAAATGTGCTAGAAAGTCTTCTAACTGGAAGTTATTCCCTCTCTGAAAAGGACAACATGGCCTTTTTTCGGTTTGACCTTGCCTTCTGCCAGTATGATTTTTGGAGATTCTTGGGAGGCCACAGACTTGATCACCGTACTTAGAGCCATTATACGATGCAAATTATTAAATATCTGTTACTGTAAATAATGTGGAAGATTTTCTATGAATAATTATACAGTACTTACTTTTTCTTATTTTTATTATTTATCCATTAAAGGATCTATCTTCTGGATTACCTCAGTTACTTTTTATAATTCCTGATACTTTGTCATCTGCATGAAGAACTTGGGGCATGCATTGCATTATATGAACGGAATATGAAATGGGGAGTCCTCATTGGTCTTCAGGAGTCCACCCAGGGGTTGTTTCCATAGTTCTTCCCTACATTCCCTCTTCTCTCTGTTAGATTTATCAAAATATACGTTGATTTGAGAGTACAAGAGCATCCCATTCAAATCATTTATTTGTTGTTAGATTTATTAGTTGCCGTTATTCGTTAACAAAATTATGCACAAAATAGGGTGGGCGCTTTGAGTATGGCCACAGCATTCAATGACTAAAAAGTAAGCAGGTACTATAAACTATTTTCAAACTGTCAAAAATCAAATTCAGAACCACGATAAGACTAAAATAGACTGAATCGGGTAATCTCCTGGAATGAATTCTGCAGATCAGAGATTATCATGCCAAAGGCACGATTTCTAAAACGGATCAGTTTGGCTTTCGATAGGGACCGTCAGGAAAACTTTTCAGTTTGTATCCTCACGGCCTATCCTGTTTTGGTACCTTTGGTGGATTTTTTTTTCAGATGTAAAAGGGGATAGGAAATGTCTGCAGCTTGGTTGTTGATGGGGTTTGCAGTGTGGCACATGAAATGGAATTCTGTGGACTTTTGACTCTTACTTCATTCCTCAGTTATGCAGAATGAAGGAGTCAGAGGGCAAGCCCAATTAAGGGAAAAATGAAAAATCAGTCTGTACAAAAGTAATACTGAACAGATGCTCTTTGATGTGCGACGTTTATTATTAATGCTTCTGTAAGAGCCTTTCATGTTCTGATAAATATTTATATAGTAATCTCTATTTCCTGTTTTTTTCCCCAGACATACCTTACTCTCTTCAGGCTCAATGAAGATCACTGAGACATGGGTGTCAGACGATGGCTTGTACATCTGTGTAGCCACAAATATTGCTGGAAATGCAACCCAAAAAGTAAAACTACATGTACATGGTAAGAATCCTCTGCATTAAATAATGAATATTATATTAAATTAATAATGAACAATGAATAATTCATTGATAATTAATTAATATTAATATTAAATTAATTAAATATGACTAAGGTCACTGGCAGCAAATTCAAATTGGATTGAGGGGCGTGAGAACTCAGAGACTGTACCTTTATTTGATATGTATGTGCTTAGTGGAAAGGATTAGTCATAGTATCAGAACGTTATTTTTCAATATTTTTCAATCATTCTTTTTGGTTCTGAAAAGCTCTCTTGAGCCTGTTTGTAATAAATGATACAAAATTATGCAGTGGAGAGTTAATTTTTTTGAACATTTCTCCTTGCAATATGCCACCCTCCGCCCGCCTACACCATTGCCATCCAAAATCCATTCACTGGCACCATTATCTTTCTTAATTTGCCCCTTCCATGGGGCTTCAGAGTCTTCCTGTTGTTCCTACTTGTTGACATCCTGAAACTTCTTGTGTACCATAATAGCTTCTCCTAGACCTTAACAGCCTAGATAAGACCTGCTGCTTGGCCACAATTTACTGGAGTGTCTCTGCTCATTGAATGAAAAGGATCTGCACCAGATCATGTATTCTTAATGTCTTTTTAACTCAGCAAAATCCACAAATTCATAGGATTAGTTAGCACCAAAGGTAACACAAATGCCATAAAAATAACATATGGATTAATGGGGCATGTTATTTCAGTGATTACATTTCTTCTTAGCTTATTTTTTTTCCCCCAAATCTGGTTGTAAACATGGTTATTTAGGGGATGGGGGAAAGAAGATGAAATGTGTACTAAGATGTTATGACACAAATTCCAACCCTTTGTATCTGCACTGTGATGTCTCATGCAAGTATGTAAGGGGTGGCGCTATGATGTCATAACATACATTTCATCATTTTGACAAAATGGCAAATACCTCTGCCATTAAGTATTTGCATTGGACAATAACAACTAAGTCTCCTGAATTTTTGAGACATGTTCTTAGGATTCATAACCATGGCATGCAGAGCATGATCAGATTACAAATGGTCATTACTATGGATCAATGAATTACTTAGCACACATCAAGCCATCCCATACCGGGCAAAGGGTGATTGGCAATGTTGGCCAAGTTATATTTAATTGTCTAGCATTTCCGTTTTCTTGAAGAAGGAATTATAAAGGTAGCTCTCTATTTTTCTCTTTGGAAGTAGTAGTATTTGTTTCTTCTTGTGTTATTTTTCTGGCTGAAGTGTAGGTGGCTGTGGATTTTAAAAAAGGAAATTAGAATGAAAAAAAAAGGATGCTTAATTCTAAAACATTCAGATTGCTGTACCTTGTGGATAGCAAGAAACCAGATTGCCTTAAGGGAAAATAAAAGATAAAGATTTCCAGTCTAGACTTATATTTAGTCAGCAAAGACATTTTGAAAGTCTTCATATTTGGAAACTTCCACGAGCTTTTTAAAAATTACTTGCAGTGTATTTCATCTATGTTTGCTTTCAAGTAAGTTCCCCTGTGCTTTGTATTGCAGCTATAGCGAAAATAAATATAAGCTCACCTGTCCTAGTAGTTGACAGAGTGGACAACATTTTAAAATTGATCAACTGGTACTCAATTGCAGAAGCGATGAAATTTCTGTAGAAAGGAGGAAGTTCAGTTAAGGGCTAAAGGCCAACTCTTGAGTATATTTGAAGATAACTGACACATCATCATATCTGATCGTTTTCGAAAAACATTTGCAACTTCTTAAGATCGCAAATATATTTATATATACTTCCACGATACACATTTTTTCTTTAGTGCAGGTTTTTCCCCTGTATTTTGATACAGAAATGTATTACAATTATGCCCACCTAGAGGGAGGTGATGCAAAAGTTTTCCAAGACTTTGAAGAACCATTGGAAAAATAAATACCAGATTAAATGGACAAATAGCTAGACATACAGTATAAGACAAAGAGTCAGTTGGAGTCTGATGGCATCAAAATTGAAATAATAATAAAAAAAGGTCAAAGTTTTATGTATATTACATCTAGGCCCATCTAATTACTTATAAGAATTGCCATTCATTAAAAGCAATGTTTTTGTTACAAATATAGATGATTCCCAAAAATAATTTTATATGAACTGAAGAAATGATGGCAACTTGCTCTTTATAATAGTGTCTATTTGTCAAAAGATAAACATTTAAAACCTGTTATTTAACATTTAGTTAGTATAATTTAACTCATCAGAAGGTAACTTTTCCACTCATTAAACACAAATGCATAGGTAATTTCTTTAATTATTTTTAACCATTCCTCAAATCCTATATATTCATGTCCTGTCGGTATTGCCAGGAATGTTTACAAATGGTATTGTTAAAAGAGTTCTTTAGGTTATTCTGAAAGTTTGCACTGGGTATGTAAATATCTTTAAAATATATAGGGGCCAAATGCCATTTTATGTTCTTCTCGTTTTACTGATTGATCTCCTAAAATCTTTCTGTATTAGCTTTAATTAATTAATTTTTTTAACCTAGTTCCTCCAAAGATACAACATGGGCCTCGAGTGATTAAAGCAAAGGTTGGTTACAGAATCAATATACCTTGCAATGCTCAAGGAATCCCACCTCCAAGAATTACTTGGCTTAAAGATCAAAATCCCATTTTGATAGACAACAGAGAGTATGCTACTTCTCCAGATGGAACCCTGAGTATCATCAAAGTTCTGCTTTCAGATTCTGGAATCTATAAGTGTGTGGCCAGTAACATTGCTGGCCATGATGAAACTGAGATAATGATCCAGGTTCAAGGTAATGTTAACATTATAGTGAGAAGTACAGAAGAAGAATTATCTTTTTTTTTTTAAAGAGGTTAGTGTTTACACTTGCCGCAAATAATTGAATTATGGGTTTTTTTATTTAAAAATTTCAAACATACACATATAACTGTAAGGGAGGAAATCCTACTGCACGTGTATACACAGTCAGATAAAGCAGAGATTCATTTGGAACCCAGACACATGTCTGTATAGGGTGTATATACTTTTGAAAATGCTTTCTCCTACTGTACAGTATAATTTTGGGGGGTGAACTTTATGGGAAATTCAGAGAACTGCAAACTGTAAATGACACTAAATGCATTTTTTCCTCTGGTTCAAAAAGGCAAAATTAGATTGGTTAACTCTGTTCTGGAATTTTTTAGCTATGGCAATTTCATTCTAGTTTTCATAACACCAACCATTCCCAAAAGTCACTTTATTTAATTTTCAACATTAATTTCTCCTCCCTTCTGTGCTTTAAAAAATATTCATGAAACATACATAAAGTAAAACGAAATTGACAACATAAGACTAAAAGGAATTAATTGTACCTAGAACCCAACGCAATCCATTGTAGAATATAAGAGAATATACACTTCTGCAGTAAACAATTGACCTGAACTAGTAAACGAGAGGTACCTTTCTTGGAACATTAACTTTTGGCATTAGGAATTATTATTTGATGTCACACAGGCAGACTGCTGCTTTACCTAATGCTATCTACCTTCAGTTTCTTCCTCCAAACTCCCATGATTCAGTGGAGTTTTCTATAATACACTGAAGCAGATTGTCTGTGGGTGGTGGGGGGGGGGCAGGGGAAGAGGAGAAGCCGTTCATCAGATATAACTCTAGATATGATTTACTGAAAAAAAGAGACTTTATTTTTGATGTCAGTAAGGGTAAAAGCATGGCAGGTACAAAAAAATATGTGACATTTCACTTTATCAGGAAAGGAAAGAGTTAAAAAGTTCAGGTATCTAAGCCTGGCTAGCTGACAGGGTACCATTGCTTCTCTGTTGAGCTAATCAGTAAATTGTAACAGTTTGTGGGGAAATTCTTAATTTATGCATCAAGCATAGTTAGCCCTTGAATTTTAGTGTTTGGAATGCTGAAGGTGATCAAATATAAAGGAGGCATATATCTCCTTTACATTTGCAAATACAGTGAGGAATATGGCAGTGAATTATGACTTACCTGATGTAGCTTCTGTCTCTTCTTGAGATTTGTGCTTAGAAAAGACGTTTTTTCTCAGGGTTTCCCTAGCAAATTCTAGCATACCATCAAGCTTCAGAACCAAGTAAACAAAAATATAATGCATAATATATAATCAAATTTTAATGTTA